TGAGGAATAAGGAAAAGGGAAGAGTCGGAGGTGACTTTTACATCCCTGAGCAAGGAGGTGGCAGCAGCAGATAGTAACCAAAGTCATGACAGTGGATGAGATAACCTTGATGGGTAGGCTTGTTTTATGAGTGTACAGAACAGGACCAGACTCACCAATAACTCATAGCCCCAACAAAAGACCCCCTCCTTCTGCTTCATCTCCAGGGAAGCAAAGAGGCACAGGATGAGTCAGCTCTGTACTCCAGGTAACAGTCACAGCTCTACACACAGTATTGTTTAAGTATCAGGCTTTGGCCAACATGATGAAACCCCATCTCTACTAATAATACAAAAATTAGCCAAGCGTGGTGGCACACACCTGTAATCTCAGCCACTCCGGAGGCTGAGGCAGGAAAATTGCTTGAACCCGGGAGGTGGAGGTTGCAGTCAGCCAAGATTGCACCACTGCACTCCAGCCTGGGTGACAGAGTGAGACTCCATCTCCAAAGGAAAAAAGATAGCAGGCTTTAGAAAAGAAGGTTAGCAGGTGCATTCTTTTTGTGCATGGATTGGAATTGGATATTTGGGTTTCTAAAAAATGAGACTCGGAACTGTTAGATCTCAGTGTACCTCGTTCTAGAACAACTTGCCTTGCACATATGGGGTGCAGGGAACATTGTGTCAGACCTGACAGGAGAAAGTTAGTTTTTTAAGCAAATATTTCATGTCTCTCTTTTACATTCCAGGTTCTCTGTGTTCTCTTGCATAAAGAAGTAGAAGGGAGATACTGCCATTCTGGCTGTCCTTGGGATTCAGACTTGGTAATAAACTGCAAGTACTCTGGCTGCTGATGCCTGTCTGCCCCCAAGTTTGAGGAGACAGGGGTAGGCAGAGGGCTGGGGTGATGAACAGGCTGGTATGCCTAGAAACCTGCGCACTGATTTTAGGCTTAATGGCCACATTGGAGAAGCTACCTTTAGGAGACTGCAAGGCTGAAACTGTATCAAAATGATACTGTTTGGATCATTGTTGAGAAAAATGACCTGCTAGATTTGACTCAACCAGCTACAGTTTTTATTAGCATTTCTCGCAGTTACGAGTATTGGAAAGGTGAGGGTGGCATATGGTGGCAGGGTGACAAGCAGAAGATGTGCATGTCAAAGTTTTGATCTGGGCTGGACCGTCATCTCCCTTCCTCAAACTATGCCGTAAGGCGATTGACTCGTTTGTTGGAATGACAAATAGACATGCAAAAGCTTTTATAAAACAGCAACGTGAAAGAAAAGGTCCCTCAGCAGTTTTTTATTCTACCCTTGGCTTTGTTAGGATTGTTGTTCCATTTTTTTGTATTCCTAATCTCACTGGCATACTTCAGGTTTTAAGCCTTTACAACCAAGGGGATGAGCTAAGGTGCACATCTATTCTATGATGGTTCATCTTTTTGGGATTCTGGGCTATCTCTTTTAAAGCTTGCTGTAGGAGAACTGAGTCAACAAAAGCTCTGTGTGGAACCCAACAAATTGTCGCTACTCAGTCACCGTGTTAATGAGAAAAAACAGAGCAAACTTGAAAGTAATGTTTTATTGGTTTCTTTGTTTTGTCTATGTGTTTTTATTTTTTTTGGCCACATAGTTTTGCCATGGGAAAAGTGTCCAGGAATGGCTTTCTCTCCCTTGACTGTATTTTTAGTGCAGTTGCCCATGATCAGGATTTGCACAACATGAAACGTTCTGTGAATATTTGAAAATCCTTTCTTTCCTGTTTCTGCATCCTGTAACCACAGTAACAAGAATTCTTGGGGTAGTAGGAGGTTTTTTAAGACAGCAAATTATGGTTGAATTGTTAAAAAAAATATTGCAGATGAAGTAGAAATGACTGGCTTTGTATAATGTGGTCTTCAATGTGCAAATAAATATGTCCTTTTGTGCAAAACCAATTGAGTCTAAATATACTGTAGATGGTCGCTTTTGCCACAAAGTTGTTAATTCCTTCCTGCCGCACAGGAGAGGAGAGGATTGGTGAACACCATATTAAGATCAGGTGAGGGAGCCCTCTAGCGGGAGACCATCAGGGCGCTCCTTAGGGCCGACACTGGAGCAGAAGACAGCCGAGAGTCACAGAGGGAATGTTAAATTTAGCCCACAGAGTTGAACTGCACCGTGTAAATAAACACACTGTGACTTGCCATGTCCTCCTGCTGACTTGGAAGATGTTTACTAACAAATCTGCCCTGTAGAATTGTCAAGAACTTACTGAGGCATGTCCAAAATTAAAATCATCGTTTTAAGGACATGCTACGTTCTTCATAGCCCTCACCTGAAATGCCTGAGCTGGGCAAGGTCGAGGAGCAGGGGATACATTTTGGTAATAAACAGTCTAAATTGGATGAGATGACCTGCCCCTCAATCCCCAAGGGCATATGAGGGATGGGGTTTTCTCATCATTCCAGTTGCTTTTTTAAAGAAAAGAACGCCCCATTCTCACCCTTGCCTTCCCCAGGGCTCCTCTGGGTTGGGCTGTGAATATTACTGTAATTTAGTGGGTTATCTTCTTATACCTAGAAGGAAAATTACAAAGCACGTTTGTTTCCCAAATCCCTGACCATAATGCATACCTGAGGTTGTAATGCCAAATTCATACAAAAATTTTCTTATTCTCTTAGCTACAGCCGTGATGTTTCTTTGGTCCCTTATTTCTGTCATTCACTATTTATAAATAAATGATAGGAGACTTTAAAAATCTCAAAGCTTTGCAGCTTAAAATACACTCATGATATTAATGGTTTATATGGGATTTTTTTAAAAGCATATTGTATGGGAAATGCCTTGCCTTTCTAAAATAAATAAATATCTGATATCTCCAATGAATCATGATTGAGGCTCTTTGCTCACTGCTTTCTTGTTGACCATCATTCATAAGTCCCTCTAAAGGGTTCAAAAGTGTGTTTCCAGGCAACAAGAATCAGACTTTGAAGTCTGTGCACTTCAAAGCCTGCATAAGGTTCCTAACCCATGCAGTAGAGGCCGCCAGTGAAGAAGTGGACTCAGCACATTTTAGCTAAAACCACAACTGCCTCTTCTCGTGTGTGACACTAGAGAGCCCCTGAGCTTCTAGTCAGCCAACCTGGTTTGTCCTTTTTTAAACAGAAAATGACAATAGCAAGTATTTATAAATCGTATTGATACTCCAGGGACCCTCTGAGGTCTCAAGTCTTCCTTAAAGGCTGCTCAGCCTGATAAACATGGCCATTTCTGGACTCTGGGTGGCCTTCCTCTCTAGGGAACTAGCATGGCTGCCCAGTCCTGTGCCGTGCGTTGCACAGTGGCTTAACTCACCGGAGTGTATGCCTCTCTGCCTGGTGGGTGTGTACACCTTTGAGAGCAAAGACAGCTCTTAATATATCTGGGTCTAGTTCATTCATTCACTTAAGTCATTTATTCATTGGTTTAACAGTAGTTATTGAGCCAGACAGATGCTAGTCTACTCTTTGGGGATATTTTTGTGAACAAAACAGACAGAATCTTTTTTCCTGATGTGGAGTCCTTGGGATTAATGAACAATTAAACTCATAATCAGAAATGGAAATTTTCCACAATGGAAATATAAACTCTGATAAATGTGACAGAGGAAAAAGGAATGGCCTTTTTCAGAAAAAGCAGTGAATGGCCTTATTTAGATTTTGGATCAGAAAGGGCCTCTAAAATGGTGATATTTAAGCTGAAACCCAAGGACATATGGTATTCTCGTATCGTAGGGCTAACAAGCATTTCTTGCTTTGAGAAATGATCTGCCATCTCTTAAGGTCACATGGTTGGTATGAACCTTCTCACTGTGAATAATCCTGGCTGTGGCTTCCAGGACAACCCCTTCCCTCCTTTATTTGCCACCAACCTCCCAATGTTCTTTCTGGTGTTCCCTGGCTCTAATAATCCATAGAAACCTCCACCATGTCAGCTGAAGCTACAGTGGAAGTGAAGCAATTATATCTCAAGGCTACTTGTGGAATTAGGACGAAAATTTTTCTTGAAAATATATTTATGAAGCATTTAGCAGTCCACCAGACACTTACCCTAATAAAAGAGCATACGTCCTTGGTAGCCACAGTGTTGCAAAGTGAAACGCACATGGCCTTTGGGATTCAGCTGACCCGGGTTTGAACCCCAGCCCTGTGGCCTCAAACAGACGATTTCTTCGTCTCAGTTTCCTCATCTGTAAGAGAAGGGCAAACTCAATTTAAACTCACAAGGTTTTGCGAGGACTAATGTAACACACCCAGGCACAGAGTAGACAGTCACCAGACAGTCACTGTAATCGCCTACATTCCCTTTCTCCACAACTTTCTGAGCTCTATGTGTCCCCAGTTTCCCCTGAGGCTCCAGTTCTCCCCTATGCTCCATGATCACATGCAAGCCACCGCCCCTCCTTCAAAGCCAGCTCCCACAGCATGAATCTGCTTCCATTAAGAAACACAATGGGCCCAGCAGGAGCCGCCCAGGACCCAATAGCAAGGAGGATGTGAGTACCTAGGAACTGAGCGAGACTTCACTCCTGCTCAGGAGAACAGTCCAGGGCATGACAGGGTACAGGAACAACTCCCATCATCAAGCGGGAAATCAGCCAGGGATCTGGTCCAGAAGGGGGCCTGGGGCACCGAGCAGGATGATCATTCAAAACTGAGAGCAGGGGCCATGTACTCACAGACAGAAGCCCTGGGGTGAGAGGTATAAGAGAGAGGAAAGAGGGGCTATTATTTAGGGCTCCCTAAGACCTCCAGGAGCTCACAAGATAGGCACTTGGGACTGGGTCATCTAAAGTAAAGAGTCCATTCTACGTCACCAGGGAAAGAGGTGTGAGCAAGGCCCAAAAGTGTCTCTCCCACAGGTAACCTGAGATCAGCCTTGGGAATGGGATGGGGAAGGCAGAGAACTGCAGGAGGAGAAACTGACAGCAGACAGGACATTTTGCTTATCTGAAAATGCTATATGCAATTATAATCAAATCCCTCTTACTCCCCTACAGGTAAGCACAGACACCTCCAGCTTGAGAAAGGCAAATCCGAAAGGCCGGAGTGCACTGTTGGCTGATATCCAGCAAGGAACTCGCCTGCGAAAAGTCACACAGATCAACGACCGCAGTGCCCCGCAGATTGAGAGTAAGTGAGCAGCCCGGCCAGGCCTCCTGTGAGCCAAGGACAGGGCAGGCATGTGAGGCACAGCCAGACACCCCTGGCTGGGGCCACAGCTGCTTCCCAGGACACACATGGGGCTGTCTTAGACCTGCTCATTGGACAGCCCAAGTGGGCAAGAGAACCAGAGCTTTCCTTCCAAATCTGCAAATGGTTTAGAGCATATCTTCTATCCTTGTCAAATGCTAAAAAGAACTCCACAGTGGGACACCTTTTTAAAAATTATAAAATACATGTAACATAAAATTCATCATTTTAACTTTTTAAAGTGTTCAGTCAGTACCACTTATTACGTTCACAATGTTGTTGCAACAATCACCTCTATCTAGTTCCAGAACATTTACATCAGCCCCAAAGGAAATTCCATATTCATTAGCAAGTCATTCCCCATTAGCCCCTGGCCCTTGGCAACGTGATCTACTTTCTATCTCTCTGAATTTGCCTATTCCGAAGTTTCAAAGAAATTGAATCATGCACTATATGGCCTTTTGTGGCTGGCTTCCCTCACTTAGCTTAATGTTTTCAAGCTTCATAGATGTTAGAGCATGTATCTGTACTTCACTCCTTTTTATCATTTAATATTTAATTGTATGGACACACCACGTTTTGTGTATTCTTTGTAGGGTAACACTTAAGGATCACTCACCTTGTGTCAACATAGTCCTCAAACTCAGTGTCAGAAAGTAAAGGGGCTTGCTCCGGCACAGTGGCTCACACCTGTAATCCCAGAACTTTGGGAGGCCTAGGCGGGCAGATCACCTGAGGTTGGGAGTTTGAGACCAGCCTTCACCAACATGGAGAAACCCCGTCTCTATTAAAAATACAAAATTAGCTGGGTGTGGAGGTGCATGCCTGTAATCCCAGCTACTTGGGAGGCTGAGACAGGAGACTCACTTGAACCCAGGAGGTGGAGGTTGCAGTGAGCCGAGATCATGCCGCTGCACTCCAGCCTGGGCAACAAGAGCAAGACTCCATCTCAAACAAACAAAAAAACGTGAAGGCCTCAGCATTTTTTTTAATGCAAAATTTTTGTTTTACTTTTCACAAGGAGAAAGATGTCTTAAGAATTTTGTTTCAGAGGATGATATGACTGAAGGCTGTTGTCTTCTAGAATGTGACAGAGTAAGCTGAGTCCTGGGCTCAGGTCAGACAACCTACATTGAATTCTAGTTCTGCAACCAGACAAATCGGGGAGCCTCTGTGGGGCTGTTTGGCCTTCCGTGAAATGGGGAGACAATACCCGCTCCTTTTTTTTTTCTTGGTCAAGATTGTTGAAAGATGAAATAATACATGCAGAGAACTGTTTAGCACAGGTCGAGCCCTAATCCAAAAACCCCAAATCTGAAAGTTCTTGAATGTCAACATGACACCTCATGTGGATGATGAAGATGACGTTGTTAACACAGAAGAAAATGTGTCTCCAAATGACATGGTGGAAATGTGTGATAGGCTTATTGAAGGACAAGAGCAGCATACGTTCATAACAGAACAAGAAATCGTATCAGTTTACAAAATCAGAGAGCCTTCTAAGACAAAAACCATTGCTAATGAGGCCGATGACTCTGGAGGAAACATTTTAAAAGCCATCTAGCAGAATGCTTCCTCAGCTCAACTCTAGAGCACCTACTTCCTGGTTTCTCGGTAGTTTCTAATGTTTCTTCTCACGTAAAACAATAAGATCCAGTGTACAGTAACCTTTAATCAAAATGCAGCATTGCAGGAGACTGAAGGCCTGCCTTTGTGTGTTGCTGCTGTGGTCTAACAGCTAATCCGGGTATTCTGGTAGTGCTACTGTGTTGCTTAGTTACTTGCTGTGTTAATGGTGTGCATTTTCTTAACTGTTAAGTACTTATGTGTGAAGAAGTGTAAGAAACTGATTGCTTATTGGTAGCATGGAAATTCAGTGTCAGGAATGCTGGTGATAGATAAACCACAGATTGTACACATGGGAGGCTGAGAGGGTGACACCTTTGCTTTCTGATGTCTCCATGAGCACCAGCTTTGTTTTATGCACAAAATTATTTTAAAATGTTGCATGAAATTACCTTCAGGCTATATGTAAAGGTACATATGAAACAAATAAATTTCATGTTTAGACTTGGGTCCCATTCCCCAGAATATCTCATTATGTACACGTAAATATTTCAAAATCAAAAAAAGATCTGAAATACTTGATCCTAAGCATTTTGGAGAAAGGATACGTACCCTGTAATGTAAGGTATTATTATTATTATTATGTCTTCCTATGTTTTCCTATGATGTGCATGATGGTCATTCTTAAAGATAGTCCTAAAAATGTAATATCTCTTATCTGTAATTATAAATGTCAACATACAAGGATAGACAGATTTTTAAAGAAATATTTTCAACATTGAGTGCATTAAAAATTTCTGGTTACACCCATGATCGAATTGGTTAAGCCTAATTAATAGGTAAATCAGTTTCATTGAGACACCCACTGCCTAATCATTCTAATGAGTAAGTAATGTACAATATGAATACTCGGAATAATCCGGCCACTTTCATCCACCAGTGGGCACTGTGCCCTAATTTCTCTGTGCATGTTAGCTTCCAGTTGTAAATATTTTGTGCCAGGGACTCTTTTCTAAGCTGAACATCTTCTCATTTTCTGCAGTTGGTAATCACGCATGTCTGGAAGACTGCAGTTAGTGACACCTTTTTTCAGGGGCTCATGATCTTTCTGTTCCATAGATGAAAAGGTATAGGGAGGTGTAAGGGGCTGAGAGCCCGAGGGCTGGAGAGACAGGAAGGAAAATGCCAAAGCACAGATCGTTGCAGGCTTGACCTCCTGCTTGCTATTCTGATCAGTGCTCTGTGGACAAGAAGTTAAAATGACCAACTCCATTAAATCTGTGGGTTTTCCTTGTCTAGTTCTCCATAGCCAAGCTGAACATAAGGGCAGCTCTACACCTACCACGTTTGGGTTTTCAAATTCATGGTGCTGCCAGTTGCTGTGTCAGCTTCTACAAAATGGTGGTGTTTAGGTCTCTTTGTTTTGGTCACTTTTCAGGGGAGTTGGGCAGAAATGGTTAGTTCTTTGGTAGGACTGGAGAGGGTGGGGCACGTGAGTCTACAGGGTGTCAAAGCAGAGGGTGCCTGGGGAAGATGCTGAGTGAAAGGGTTGACATTAGAGGTGGGAGAATGGGAAGGCTAACAAGGGCAGTGTTAGACCAGTGTAAGACCATGGTCTGAAATGAGACCTGGCTGCTCAGCTCTGCTCTCAAGTCCTTGCCTCCTTGTGTCTTCTCTCTAAAGGTTCTAAAGGAACCAACAAAGAAGTAGGGGGTTCTACAAACACAAGAAGCGCAAGCACACCCCCGGCCCTGGGAGATCTGTTTGCTGGTGGCTTTCCTGTGTTGCGACCAGCAGGCCAGCGGGATGTAGCAGGTAAGGAAGAATTCATTCTGGCTCCCTTGTGGTCTTTATCACTTTAGCTTGTGGCACCACCTGGGCGATCCGCACATGCTGGTAAGCAACGTGCTTTTACTGAACAGTCATGATAGAGTAGAAGACCATTTTCTTGGGACCGTAACCACTGGAAACTTCCAAAGTACAAAATGCTTCTTGAGAAATCTTTTAAATCATCATCTTGTTTAAATTATTCCATTGTAATAGTTGAAAAGTGGTGTGTAATGCTTAGTGATGTCCAGATGGTAGCCCAGACTGCAAAGTGTATACAGACAGAAGGTTCAAATTATAGAAGTTCATAGTGACATCACTGTGGATGCACTAGCAATGTATGAGTTGAAATGATTCAGTCATCGCATCAGTTAGGTACTGCTGTGTAACAAAAGACCCTAAAACTTAAAAGCTTTAAACAGTTGTTTTTTTAGCCTACAATTCTGTGGGTTAGAAGCTTAGAGTAGTCTTGGCTGGGTTCCCTCTTGCAGCTGTAAAGAACTTCAGGTTGTGTAGGTGACTTTGCTAATCTTATATTTCTCATATTTTTCCAACCTCTGGGGCTTCAGCTATAACCACTGGCTTGACTCACCTCTATCCACATAGTCTCTCAGTATCCAGCAGGGCTTCCAGGCCTTGTTTCCATGCCAGCCGCAGAGTTCCAAAAGAGAAGACAGAAATATAAATAAAGTTTCTTGAGGCTTAGTCTTGTAAGTATTGGAAGTCTAAGAAGTATCACTTCCTACCACATCCTCTTGGCCAAAGCAAGTCACAAGGATGGGGAAATAGACTTTGCCTCTTGATGAGAGAAACTGTAAAATCGTATTTCAAAGATTACAGAATCAGGCATGAGGGAGTAATGAAGGCCATGTTTGTAATCAGTCTACCTCAGTTATTTTTTATTTAGTGGGCATCAGATGTTTTGAAAGTATTGCATTAAAATTGAACAAATATATATTTACTATGAGAAAAAAAAAAAGACTATTTTTTTCTATTATTGTTCTTTAACCAGCAAGCTCCAGGAATACCATTAATACAGGAAATATCAAGACTCAAACATTCCTGCTGCCAGATCTTCCATCATATGACTTTTCTAACTTTTTCAGTGGCCTCTGTGACTGTTTAATGTTATGGGATGCATATGCCTCACTCACCAATAAAAGTCCAGCAAAGACAAAGACTCTAGGATACTTTGAGATCCAACTTGAACCTTCTCAGGGGCCATGTTCATTTCCTCTTTTTTTGCTGAGGGGTTAGCAGGAAAGGCAGAGCACAAGGTCTTCCTCAATAGAGACAGCAGATATTCTTCAGTGCCCTCTTCTTTTTCAAAATTCCTGAGTGCTATCAAACAAATATCCTTTGGAATAGAAGGCTTCCATGAATTTCTCTTCATAGAAGTAGAGATGGGAGAAATGGGCCCCAGTCAGGTTTTCATGGGAAGCAGCCAAAAAAAGGCAGCAGGAGTCTTACTGGTCTGCTTGTCTCCAATGGGAGATAAGTGTCAGATGTTTGAGCCACTGTAATGGGGAAGACAAGAACTTACCTCTTTAGAGATGGAGGTCCATAAGGAAGTGATGAATGATGCCTATTACAGGATGGAAACTCAAGGAGAAAGCTACCAGATAAATGCATGGACTGGGTACCATGTCAGGGCAAGGAAAGCTGTGGCTCTCTCCTCCCAGAACTTTCCTGGCAGCCCCTTTCTCATCAGAGGAAGGGACTGGGGCCTTTGCTTTCTCTATGATCTTCTGGCCTACCTTTCTCAGTGGCTCATGCCCTCCCCTTCACCAATGCTGTCCTCCTTGCTGCTCTTCACACACCAGCATGTTGCTGCCACTGGGCACCTGCACTGACTGCTCCCTTGGCCCAAAGGCTCCTCCCCAGGTGTCCACGTGGCTCCATCTCTCCCTTCCTGCAGGTCTCTGCTCAGGTGGCAGCTGGTCAACATGTCCGCAAGGTCTTTACTTATCATCCCATATAAAGGTTCAGTCCCATCCTTTCATTTCATATCTCCTTTTCCTTGATTTACTTTTCTTGTATTCCTTAGCACCATCTGACGTATTATGTATTCACTGGTTTATTTGTTTATTGTCTGTCTTATGCTTCTAAAGCTAAGCTCCACGAAGGTGGGGACTGTGGTTTTTTTTCATTGCCTTAGAAATGCCTGACGCATGGCAGGTGCTCCGGAAATACTTGCTGAATTGCATGTGTGAATGGGTAGTATGGTGACTGACAGCCATTAGGCACCATAGCACGGTGTCATGGGCTCTTGGTACTTTTAAGGACCCATGAAAGTATTTAAATTTCTTTTAAAATCTGAAGAAACCATGACCTCTTAGGGTCAAAGAATATATTTGTCTTTGTACCAATGCAGTCATGAATATAATTTTTTTTAAGGGAGAAGAGGCCTACAAAGGCAAAAGTGCCTAGGGTCCCTGGAGTCATAATGTAGCCCGGGCTCAGAGGTCCAAGGAAGTGAGAATTAAAATAAGATACAATGAGTAAACATTATTTCTGGGTTGAATAGAATGTGTAACGAGGCTTCCAAGTCTTCTGGAAAACATTAAATTTGAGGAAGAAGTAGTACTTCATATTTTGATAAACTCCAGGTTCTAAAAGCTGAATCCTTTCCTATGGGCACAGCATCCCTGATGCCCTCAAGCTGGCCCTTCCCGCCTCCTGGTCTCCTTTGTGCTTCCTTTGGATATCTAGGGCTCAGGTTTCCATTGTGAAGGATGGCCTCCTCCCTTACTTCCCTCAGCTCCCTCGGAGCTCTGTGCCTGCTGAGGCCCACCTCCTCCCCTTGCCTGAACTTACACCGTCAGCCCCTGTCTCCCCTGCGGTCATACCTTCCTCCTTGAGGGGCATGAATAGAAGCCAGGCAGGGACTTGGCCGCCCTTCTGTTGCAGGTGTTAGGATAAATATGAGTTTACCCACATTTCTCATTTGGTTGGGGCTTCATCAGCACAGGATCCCCTACTTTGAACAGACTCAGTTTAAGGGTTTTTGAATCTTTGAGACATGGTGTCCTCAGTTACTTAAAAGGTTTGGATAGACTATTCAAGGGTAGGCTTTGTTCTGTAAGAACTTTTATTATCCCTTTAAACGTCATTCAGCCACTGGGCACGTAGGTAGGCTCTGCCTTGTTTAGGGAGCTGCCTAGGTTCTCCTCGTCATCTTTTTGTATTGTATGGGAACAGGTTTGAGAACTTCTAGGCAGGAATCCCTCAGCTGACACATGCTAATACCATCCTCACCCTACCTTAAGAACAGCCATTCCGTAATATGGTTGGAATATTACGGACTAGGTGACTGTCACATTATAGCCAGAGGGGATCATATTTGGAAAGCCAGATACTAAAGTCTTGCCTACTTAGCTTCATCTGAGTCACCTCTGCTACGCCGTGCTTTGATTGGCCTGACTTTTGACACCCAGTACTTTAAGTGTATGACTTAGCTACTGATTGGGGTAAACATACAGGAGACGCAAGTACTGCAAAGCTCAGAACCCCCAGCAGATGCTGGGGTTTCTGATCCAAAATGAAAGCTGCAGGTCCTGTGCTGCGGCACCCAGGAAGTAGTGGGTGGGAGAAAATGTCATTTTTCAAGTGTTGGCCACATGTTGTCATGGGGATTATAAAATATAGGGGAAAGCATACTCCCCAGAAATCCTTGTAAAAAGAGCACTAAATCTGGAAGAAATATTTTAATCTGCCTCCTCAGTAGACAGTGATATTCCAGAGACATCTCTAAGCAGTAATTGCAGAACTTCAAGGCAGTAAACAGCGAGAGGAACTTTTTCTCGTTGGGGAGAGGCAGAGGGAAAAAAGGGTGAGAACTAGCAAAATGGTGCAAGGTTGTGCCGGGTATAGAGGCCCCTCCTGGGACATGCTCCACCCCAGTCTTCCTTGAAGACCAAACACAAATGCTTACCAAAAATGCTTACCAAGAGCAAATTGTTGCTGTTGAATTTAAAAGAGGAATTGAATTTCAAGTTGGGGTAGATGCAAGGAAGGATCTGCAGGGTGAGAAAGCTGAGACCCTTGAGAATCAGAGTTAAGTCTTTGGGAAAGATGGTTTTGAACTTCCAGAGGCCATAGAAATGTGAAGTTCAAGGTCATTGGAACTGGATTGTCAAGGGCAAGCTTCTCCCTCCTGTCTTAACTTATACATTGAGGAAATCATGAATTTTCTGCTCTCAACACAGAAACAAATAAAGTCCTGTTCACATAATGCTGGGAGTGAATAAAACCTCCCTCGCCAGGAGTGCTGGTTGGTACCCCCGAGGGTCCAAATCAGAGCATAAGCGCTGAAGGACCTAGCAGTTGTCCGTGAATGAGAGTGAGCGTGGCCTTGCTTAGGAAGGGTAAAAGGCGTCCAGGCAGTCCTGGCCCTCGGTTGGGATACTAGAGGCCCAAGGCAGAGGAGAGCAGAGGTAGCAATGGATAGGAGGGCTGGAGGCCTGACCTAGGCTTGTCATTAATGCTGGAAAGGACCTTGGGGCTGGTCCAGTTGGTCCTTCAGTGTGACAGCTGCAGCACCTGAGGCCGCACGGTGGACACGTGCAGAAAAAGCGGTCTACAGTGCAGCTCACTGCGGACAGGCTTGAGTCTCCTGAGTGCCGCCTACCCGCGGGGGCTTTTTCTTTATTGCCGAGCTAACCCAGAATCTGTTTCACTTCCAGGTGGCAAAACAGGGCAGGGCCCTGGCTCCCGCGCGCCCTCTCCCAGGCTTCCCAATAAAACCATCAGCGGCCCACTTATCCCACCTGCGTCTCCCAGGCTAGGCAATACCTCCGAGGCGCACGGCGCTGCCAGGACAGCCCCGCCTCGCCCCAACGTGCCCGCCCCGCCCCCTCCCACTCCACCTCCTCCGCCCCCTCCCTTACCCCCACCCCTTCCCTCTTCTTCCCCCAACAAAACGCCGTTGGTGTCCCCTTCTGGTCCACTGACCAAAGGGAACCCCCCGGTGGTTGCACCCCCTGCTCCCTGTGCGCCACCACCTCCACCTCCGCCACCTCCCCCAACGCCACCCCCGCTTCCCCCTTGTCTCAGTGACAAGGCAGTGAAGCCTCAGCTAGCCCCCTTGCACCTCCCGCCCATCCCGCCCCCGCTCCCTCTCCTCCCACCTTGTGGGTATCCCGGGCTCAATGCGGAGCCCGCCACCCCTGCGCAAGATGTGCAGGAGCCTCCAGCCCCACCGCCCCCACCGCCCCCACCGCCCCCGCTTCCTCCTTATGCCTCGTGCTCCCCGAGGGCTTCTTTGCCCGCGCCCCCTTTGCCAGGAGCTAATAATAGCAGTGAAACCCCACCCCCACTACCCCCCAAGTCCCCCAACTTCCAGGCCCCACCGCAGAAGGCGGGCGCGCAAGCCTTGCCGGCGCTGCCTGCCCCTCCGGGCTCCCAGCCGTTCCTGCAGAAGAAGAGGCACGGCCGACCAGGTAAGCAGCACTGCTTGGCCCAGTGCCTCTGGTAGAGCACGGTAAAATCTTGTTGCGGCCGGGTGCGGCGGCTCACGACTGCAATCCCAGCACTTTGAGAGGCCGAGGCAGGTGGATCATGAAGTCAGAAGTTCAAGACCAGCCTGGCCAAGATCGTGAAACCCTGTCTCTACTAAAAATACCAAAAAATTCCCCGGGCGCGGTGACAGAACGCCTGTAATCCCAACTACTTGGGAGGCTGAGGCAGGAGAATCTCTTGAATCTGGGAGGGGGTGGTGGTTGCAGTGTGCCCAGATTGCGCCACTGCACTCCAGCCTGGGCGACAGAGTGAGACGCCATCTCAAAATATGTTTACACACACACACACACACACACACACACACACACACAGAGAGAGAGAGAGAGAGAGAGAGAGAGAGAGAGAGAGAGAGAGAGTTGTTGCACAGGACTTTATTGTTGGAGATACTATTTCAGAGATGGACACCAGGGGTGAGGGAGGCTGGGAGACTTGCCCAAAATCATGCTGCCTGTAAAGCAATGGATCCTGGCCTTGATCCCCAGGCCTTACTAGCTCCGTGGCCCTGGGCAACCACTTGGCCTCTCTGGTCTCCCTTCTCTTCATCTGTAACATGGGGCTAGATAGCAATAGTTGCTACCTCCTGGGCTTGTTGTTAAGGATTAAGTGAGCTCTTAGGGGAGCGGTGCTTGGAACAGGGGCTGGCAGCAGTGAGCTTGAGAGAGATTATTTATTCTTACTATCATCCTTCCAACTCCAGATCTCCTCCCTGAGGTGGAGGGGGCGTGAGTGTGGCTGATTTCCAGAACCAGGCCTCCTTTTATATTTGTGGGCATTTTCCTGTCTGGCTCCCAGCCAGAATCTTCACCAGCCCTCAGTAAACTGGATTCCCACTCTGCCTTAGTTTTCACAGGTTCTCCAGCTACCAGAAGAAAACTGAGGGCCTGTATTTTGAGCCAAATATTAAAAATAATTCCTTCACATATACAGCACAGATGATTTGAATTGAGTGTGCTTGCCCCATGGCTGATTCCCTTGGTCCCTGTAGTAGGAGGCTTCATTCAGTTTTAGTGCCCTTGTGAATGGAAGTACATCCACACATCAACATACACACCCACATACAGACACCCTCAAACATATGCACACTCATAACATCTACATGCACACTCCAACATGCATATTCCTTTGTCTTTTAGAAAATCTTTTGATGCAGAAAGCGTCTTAAAAGTATTTTCTTGAATTAAAAATAAGGCCAGCTTGTTGCAGAGCAAATAGAAGGAAATTGAAATTGACGTGGTACAGATGGCTCACACCAGTAATCCCACTGCTTTGGGAGGCCCATGCCTGAAGATGGCTGAAGTCAGGAGTTCCAGGCCAGCCTGGGTAACATAGCAAAACCCCATCTCTACAAAAAATAATAAAAAATTGGCTGCTCATGGTGGCAGACGGCTATAGTCTCAGCTACTTGGGAGGCTGAAGCAGGAGGATCACTTGAGCCTAGGTGTTCAAGGCTATGGTGAGCTATGATTATGCCATTGCACTCCAGCTTGGAGCTTGGGTGACAGAGCCAGATGCTGTCTCTAAGTAAATTAAGTAATTAAATCACACATAATAACATTGCCCAGAGATGAAAACTGCCATTTGGATATGTTTAATTCTTTTTTCTGAATAAATGTTCATGTTCACATGGTTAATACCATTTTTCGCATATGGTTTTGTGTTGTTTTTAAATATTAAAAACAATTTTGTCAAATTGTTAAAATGTCTTTATAAGTAAAATAATATGATAATCAGTATATTCTATATTCCTGTTAGATATCTAAGTTGATTCCATCTTTTATGCATAATACTGCAAGAAATACTTTTGTAGAAATTTTAGTCTACATTTCTGATATTTTTCTAAAAGTATTGGTTTCTTAAAGGAAATTCCTGGTGCAAAGAGCAAGGATATTTTTAAGCCTTTTGATTACAAGAGGTAAGGTTTTAATCACTCTTTTCAATTGACTGGTCACCATAAGGGCCAGCATTTATACTGGTAAGCCCCTTCTGATATGTGTTATTTTCAGATATTTATGATGGAATGGAAAAAAAACAAAGCTTTTTTTTTTTTTGAGACACAGTTTCACTCTGCCACCCAGGCTGGAATGCAGTGGTGGGATCTCAGCTCACTGCAACCTCCACCTTCCAGGTTCAAGTGATTCTTGTGCCTCAACCTCACGATTATCTGGGATTACAGGCATGCACCACCACGCCTGGCTAATTTTTGTGTTTTCAGTAGAGACAGGGTTTCACCATGTTGGCCAGGCTTGTCTCGAACTCCTGACTTCAAGTGATCTGCGCGCCTCGGCTTCTCAAAGTACTGAGATTACAGGTGTGAGCCACTGTGTCTGGCCAAGAAGAACAAGGCTTTTGATTCAGACGGCTGTGGGTTCAAATCCTGGGTTCCTCACCCACTCCTGTGGAAACTCACACCAAGTAGGGTTTGATTTTTTTTTTTAATATTGAATTTTTTTATTTGACAAATGGGAATACTAATAACACCTTTCACATAGGATTATTAGGAATAGGAAATGAAAATGTGCCTAAAGGGCTTGCACGGAACCTCAGCTCCAGCAGCATTATTTCCTTACCACACCGATGGGGCGGCTGTTCACCCAGAAGAGGGGCTGCAGTCCCTTTATCCCGTGCGTGGGACCAAGTAAATTCCTCATAGACTTTTGAGCCCAGGAAGGGAAGACCAGCAAGGGAGAGGAAGGCAGCTGGGAGGGAGAAAGGAAGACGGGCAGATGCTGAAGGAACATGACACACGAGGATGGCAGCTGGTGACTGAGAACGCCTGCCACAGTCGGGCGCCTGCATCTGCTCCAGGTAGTGAGCCCTGTGCCAGGATGGGGATTCGTATCTGGCCTTCTTTGCATCTTTGGATGTTGAAACCTGGTTTGTCCATGTTCAAAATACAGGGCAATTTCTACTTTAGCCTAACTTGGGGGGAAAAGAGAGAGGTAGTAATTGTGAACATCTTAGCACAGGCAGTAATGATGTAACTGTCATCGTTTCAAGAAGCAAAATGATGTTTGCAGTGCCACTGAAGAAAGAAGCAGCAGCGAAACCCCTGCATTAATGTGCCGGGACAGTGGGTTTTTAGTTGTCAGATGAACCATATAGGAAAGTATTGGCAAAGGAGAGAGTGAGCCTCTCTCAGGCATGATCAGAGACAGCTGGAGGAAGTAGGTTGGATTGGAGTTAGGCCCTGGTGGGCAAGTAGGATTAGATGGCCTGAAAGGAGAAACGAGCATTTGCAGTGCTGGAGAACCAGTGTGAGCAGGGACACAGGGGTAGAACAAGCCCCTGTCCCTCTTCAAGCCTTCCTCTGGCCTGTCCTACAGACAGCCCTTCCTGTTCTTACCAGTCTTTAGTGATTACCCTCCTTTGGGCTGTACCCAATGATGAAGGTTATCACCATCATTAATATTATTGCAGCAGCTAACATTTATTGAGCACTTACTACGTGCCACTCAACTTAAATTCAACTCATTGAATCTTCTCAATACCCCTGGGAAGTGGGTGTATTATTACAACTCCTATCTTACAGATGAGGAAACTAAAGCACAAAGAGGCTATGTTACTTATCCCAATGCAAGAAATGCAATTCAGTGCCAAACAGGTTGACTCCAGAGGTTGCCCTTTTACTATGTCATATTCCATCTGAAGATCAAAATGCCTAACATCTCACATAAGGTTATAGCATCCACCGTTCCCATCCATATGTCTGAATACACCATCATCTTCTCTGTAAGGGGCCGGTGGGGGAAAGCTAAATCCGCCTCCAGCACCCCCTGCGAGATCACCCACTACAGAGCTTTCAAGCAAGAGCCAGCAGGCCACAGCCTGGACCCTGATGCAGCAGCCTGGGGGTCAACTGCGAAATGGAAGCCTGCACATCATTGGTAAGTGGGGTGCACCTGGTGCTGGGGTGGCTGCCGGTGGGAAAGTGACTCTCCCAACCTCTGGAGAGAGAGTTTACCAGCCATAGTGCTATCATCTCAGGGTGCATGCTTATCGATGAAAAGGATCACTCCAGCACCAACCAGCCCACAGGTCCTGTGCAATAGGGTTTCTTTCTAGGCTTTCTGCATAGTTTTAAGGCCCACTCTCTAGCCTTCTGATTCAGATTAGAGAAAGGGAAGAAAACCAGCATGTAAATTGTGTGTGTGTGTGTATGTGTGTGTGTGTGTGTGTGTGTATGGAGAAATCAGTGCATAAGCCTGAAAGAGTAGAGTGATCTGGATAAGGAGAAAGAATAAATAGAAGGTCCATCAGGCAGAGGGACAGTTTGAGTGTTAAGTATGGAGGTAGGAAGGAAAGTCACATGGGGTCAGATGTGAGGCCACGGAATCTTTGGATCCCTTCTGCATGCTGGGCTAGTGTCCAACAGAGGCCCAGGTCACAAAGTAGGGGCTAAGCCCATGAAAGGGCCACAGGGGCCCTACACTCCTGCCGACGGAGCTCAGAGCAGAAGAGGTTTGCTTTGTGGAGCTCAGGTCCCACCCTAGACACAGGCCACACTCCTCCACTTCCCAGCCATTCTGCCCACCTCTTCCTCCCCTCCAAACCCTCTCAGGAGCTTGTCAGGTGCTGCAGGCTGCTGGGGCTTTGCCAGTCCCTTCTGGGCACCAGGGTCCCTGCCTCTGATTCTGGACCCTGGAGAACCCTGTGCCACTTCCACCCTTTTAGCAGCTTCCTTAAGGTGTTCTTGGTTGAAGTATATTCGGGTGGGTGACAGGGAGTGACTGAATTTCCCTCTTCCTGCTTCCCTGCATCCCAACCAACCAGTAAAACTTAAGAGGTCAGTGGATGTCTCAGGGAGAATAGTCATTAAAATTCTTGCACCGAGCAGGGAAACAGAAAATAGTGGACACAGTCAGAGTAATCTCTGTTCTCCTGGAAATGATCAAAACTTGGGTCATGACAGTAACCTGAGTAACTCTTTCCATTTCCCACGTGTCCAGATGACTTTGAGTCCAAATTCACGTTCCATTCTGTGGAAGACTTTCCCCCTCCGGATGAATATAAACCATGCCAGAAGATTTACCCCAGCAAGATCCCCAGAAGTAAGTACCACCTAGATAAGTCTCCTGGCATTTCCCGACCCTCCAAAATTAGGTGCCTGGTGTGCACTGATTGCTCACAGACTGTCTAAAGGATGACATCATGATTTCACTGTACTGCTGCAAGGATGTGGCACTGTGCATAGTTCTGGAACTTCCAGGACGTTGATTTCTCCTGATACCTCTGTGTTTATTTAGAGATTTTTACAGAACACCAAGCGTAACTGGCATCATATTTGGAGGCTTAAACTTAGCACTCATCCCTCTCCTCCCTGGGGTTTTTGATAAGGGAACTACACACCCTAGACAACAGCAAAATAGGATATAGGAGCTTTGCATCAGTCACTGAGGAAGAGCCTTAAAACTGCTAATTCAGAACTCTAGCAAACCATTAAATGGAGAATGTGCTTAGGTCAATGGTTCTCAACCTTGGCTATATATTAGAATGACCTAAGGAGCTTTTATAAATCCTGAAGGCCAGGCCACATCTAAACCACATAATTCTGATTAAGAATATCAATACCTAGGTGTCAGGGTTTTAAAAAGCTGCCAGGTGATTCCAATGTACAGCCAAGGTTGAGAATCACAGCTCAGTAAGGGTCTCCCTCCTCCTGATTTCATTGTGTGGTCAGACTTTAAAAGGGGACATTTAACCCAGCTTACCTGTTCAGCCTTAAGAGTAGAGAGATAAGCCAGGCATACATTGCTCACACCTGAAACCCCAGCACTTTGGGCGGCTGAGGCAGGAGAATCAAGAGTTCAAGACCAGTCTTGTCAACATAGCAATATTTCATTTCTACAAAATATTACCCAGGTGTGGTAGTGCACACCTGTAGTCCAAAGGTGGGAGCCTGAGGTGGAAGGATTGCTTGAGCCCAGGAGTTGGCAGCTACAGTGAGTTATGATCATGCCACTACATTCCAGCATTGGTGACAGAGCGAGACTCTGTATCCAAAAAAAAAAAAAAAAAAAAAGGGAATGAGGTGGAGGAGCCAATTCTTGTCTGGTACTGGGCCAATCAGATTGGGCAGGAGCCTAAGTCAACACTATGGAGTGAGGGTCAAATGTGTTTCCACCCCACAGTCCAGACATCTGTTGACCCAAATGGAGAATCACTGTCCAGGGTTAGCCTAAGACCAGGAATAGTGAGCCAGGCTCTTTGCCCATCTCCTTTCAGAGGAACCTTAGTGAAGTCCCTTCTGCAGAACTCAGCTTCCTGCAGCGCAAAGGGAACACAAGCCTACCCTGTGCTCAGGTGGAGTGGGTGCAGAGCCCTGTGTTCAGGTGGAGCGGGGCGGGCCTGCCCTGTGTTCAGTGGGAGGGAACGTGGGCCTGCCCTGTGTTCAGTGGGAGGGAACGTGGGCCTGCCCTGTGTTCAGTGGGAGGGAATGTGGGCCTTCCCTGTGTTCAGTGGGAGGGAACGTGGGTCTGCCCTGTGTTCAGTGGGAGGGAACGTGGGCCTGCCCTGTGTTCAGTGGGAGGGAACGTGGGTCTGCCCTGTGTTCAGTGGGAGGGAATGTGGGCCTTCCCTGTGTTCAGGTCAGGGGGAATGCAGGCCTGCCTTGTGCTCAGGTGAATGTCCATCTTAGTACAGGTGACTGTACACCTACTATTTGAAGGTGTACATGAAGGCCCAGCAAAAGACAGGTGGAATCTCCCATCTCCCATCCTTGCTCAGTTCACCATATTATCTCCCATCCCTGCTCAGTTCAGCAAACTCACATGAACCGCCTGTCATACAGCAGGCACCCTACAGGCACCAGAGGCTGCAAAGTGTAAGAAACAAGGTCTCCTCCATCATCCGCCCACCACACACACTCCTTAGATGAGAATTAGACCCCATAAGAGTGTTTTTTTTTTTTTGAGATGTAGTTTCGCTCTTGTTGCCCAGGCTGGAGTGCCATGGCGCAATCTCGGCCCACCGCAACCTCCATCTCCAGGGTTCAAGTGATTCTCCTGCGTCAGCCTCCTGAGTAGCTGGGATTAATCAGTGATTGTTTAGAGTGCCAAGGGCACTTCAGTGGGCACGGGGGTGCAGGTGGTTGCTGGGGGCCTGAAGGCCAGAGAGAGAGGGTCGCAGTTCTACGTGGGTGGGAAGGCATCCAGGATGAGGACAGAACAGACCCAGGAGAGAACGTGATAGTGCTTAGTGCACATAGGAACCGTATGTCCCACGTGGGGGACATATGTCAGGGCCCAAGGTGCCTGGCTGGAGTAAGACCACACAGGCTGCAGCAGGTGCAAGGTTGGGAGTGTGTGTCCACATACAACACCTCTCTTCCCATCTTGTGAAATATGCACAGGAATCAGCTCAAGAAAGACCTAAGTGTTCATGTTCTAATTGGAGGATACAGCTTAGGTTTCCCAGCAGCAGACCTCCTAATACTACACCCAGAATTAGGCTCCTTTACTCCCCCAAACAGTGTGACTCACACACGAGGAAACTGAGGCTGGCCCCTGTAGTCACAGAGTCTGCTTCATGGGACTTTCCACATGGCAGGGAGAGCACAGCCAAGGGACCCGGTGTTCATCAATAGGTGGCCAGATCTCAGAGAGTGCCGGAAGGAGCCAGGTTGCAGGTGGCTGCCTGCACACGAACCCACAGGGACAAGGAAATAAGTGTGCCTCCTAAGAGGCTATGTCCCGCTTAAAGCATTGGAGCAGGAACCTGTAAGCAGGGAAGAACTGTCAGTGAAAATGCTAAATGACAATTCCAGGGCCGTCGTGGACCCTGCAGTGGATGTTGTGGATGTTCGTGCCTGGCACTGTTCTAGGTGGTTTGCATACCTTATCATTCATCCTTAATGGAGAGTTTCCAGACAGGGAAAAGGCCAACTGGCTTACCTAAAGCCTCACAGCAGATTAAAGCCAGAACCAGGAATTTTGAACCCATATGTCTCTGAACCAGGGGCAGTTCCATTTGGCCATGGTGAACTCTGAAAAGGGACATGATGAAATGCAGGTTGAGACAGATAACCGGTGGCTGGTTCAGAGGAGGCAGAGACCAGGGTCAGAAAACCTGTTAGGCAGCTGTTATAACAGTCTCTGCTGGGAGGCCAAGGCAGGCAGATCACCCGAGGTCAGGAGTTTGAGACCAGCCTGGCCAACATGGTGAAACCCTGTCTCTACTAAAAATACAAAATTAGCTGGGCATGGTGGCACACACCTGTAATCCCAGTTACTTGGGAAGCTGAGGCAGGAGAATTACTTGAACTTGGGAGGCAGAGGTTGCAGTGAGCTGAGATTATTCCATTGCACTCCAGCCTGGACAACAAAAGCAAAATTCAATTAAAAAACAAAAAAAAGAGTCTGTGTGAGGGAGGATGGATGGGGGAGGTCCTCAGAGTGATCAGGGTTTAGGGAACCAGGCCCAGATGGGACCAAGGAAAATGGAGGAGCCAGGGTCCCAGGAGTGCCTGCCTTGGGCTGGATGGAGGATGTGACACCAAGAGGGAACTAGAGGTTTCACGGGGAGGCAATGGGATTCCTGTCATTTATGGTGAGGGCAGGTGGCTGGAGGGGTACAAGGGTGAGATGCCATGTGGGAGGTGGAGTGCAGTATGCAGATCTGGGACTGATGAGGTGGGGCAAGGGTGAGGACTTGATTTGCTGGCCATTAGTTTAGAGATGGAAATATAGAACAATGAAGAACATGGCCATGATGTCAACCAGGTGCATGAAGTAGTTCTGTCTGTGTGACAGGAGGCTATAAACTGTGAATGAGCAGGGTCAACTCAGTCCCTCCCAGACATCCAGGTCCATGAAAGCATTTAATAAACGGGATTTGACCTTGGTGACCTAGACTGACAGCTGAGGGAGAAAGTAAGGAATTTATTTTATTATACTGTCTGCAACTTGTAAATCAAGAATGTATACTGTTTTTCTTAATTTAATTCAGTATACTTACTGGCAGTATTGAAATAACGGTGCCATTGGAACGTGTACAAGTACAGAATCCCAACTACTGGCTCATTCAGGCCCTTTCCTTCCCCTGAGCCAGGGTTTGCTGACTGGCCACGTTCATGCCACAAGCCCCACAGCTTTCTCTTACACCCACCTGGCTCCTAAAGGCTTTTTAGTTGTGATCTATACCCTAGACTAGAGGTCAGCAAACATTTTCTGTAAAGGACCAGATAATACATATTTGAAACAATGTAGATCTCGACTGTTACTACTCAATTGTGCTGATTAGCAAATCAATCAGCAGCCATAAACAATACAGAAATGAATGGGCATGGCTGTGTTCCAATAAAACTTTATTTACAAAAACAGGTGTGGGCTGGATTTGGTCCACTGGTCATGTTTGCTGATCTGCCCTAAACCATTCCAGAAAACAGATTCCTAAAAACCTCTTTGGGCTCTTCAGACTTTCTCAGTAATGTGCTGTGGGGTCCTTCAACCTTCAGATTCAGTCAGTTCTAATCTACAGCTAGCTGCATTTTATGCCCCTGGTGCTCACTCACACCCCAAGAAGAGAAGAAAAGCTACACCTCCTCACCACACACAGCTTGCCAGGAGGGTGCAGTTGGCAGTCTGTGCACCAAAAACAATCCGATGTTTACAAAGGAGCAGGTTTTTTTTAAAAGCCAATTACATGAACTGACATTGTATAGATTAGAAAGGGCAATTTCAAAATTCAGATACCGTTTTAGATTAATGTGGCATCGGTGGACACGAAGTACTCCACCAGCCTCCCAGCGAAATTAAATATGCATGTGTTTGTCATCCCCATGAGCCCTAGTGCAGAACCTTGTTAGTTACATTAGTGTCAGTCAGATCTGGGGTATGCCTGTCTGACTACATTTCTCCTTACCAGTTTTCTTCTTGCCCACTGTTGACCTGGCTTCCCATGATTAGATTTTTTCGTGGTCTGGGAGACAGTGTTGGCTCCATCAGATGAGTATGTTCTCGTGCGCTGTGGTAGCCTGTTGTGTTCTCTGTCCCCGCCTGTTTGTTTGCTGTCTCTCCTGACCCCCCGCCCCCCTACACACACACAGAGACAC